GATCCGGACTGGACGGGAAACTTTATCCCATTTGGGATTGCCCGTAAGCCGAACTCGCCCGCAGCCGGGTGCGGTGAGTGCTTGGGGGCTGCTCGGCCTATCCTTTGGTCAGGCTCAGCCCCGGCAACTCACCAGGGCCGGGCCCAGTTCATATAGAAAGGCCAGTCGGCAAGTGACACTTTGCCAAAGTGCCACTTATCAAAGGGACACTTTGGGAAACGTTGGTGCAGGTGTGTAAGAGTGGCTATATGAATCCATTGTGGGGTCGCCCTTTCCAATAAGTGTCACGTAACAGCAATGGGACCAGGGTCTCTATATGAACTGGACCCAGGGTGCTCGCCAAGAAGACCAATGTCTCCATCCTATCATCCTTCCGGCTCTGAAATGGTCTTGTCAGACCGAAAGGGCATAACCCAACAAAACAAACCAAATGCGCTCTCTGGCTGCGTGGTTTAGTGGTTAGCGCACTAACCTCGCGTTCAAATGACACGGGGTTCGAGTCCCATCGCCGGCTGATGCTTTTGGCGTGTTGTCCCAGTAAACATGCCGACGTCGGCGACTGGGGGGCTCGAATCCCGCCGCCGGTTGATATTTTTGGCGCGTTGTCCCAATAAACATGCCGACGTCGGCCCCGTCGGTCCAACGACGAACGATCTCGTCAACCTCGGCAAACGACCTCGGCCCGACGTCGGCTCGACGTCGGCTGGACTTCGGCTGGACGTCGGAACATGCGGGCATATCCGACGTCCAGCCGATGTCGGGCCGAGGTTGAACCGACGTTGGGCCGACGTCGGGCCGAGCCTCGGCCCGACGTCGGGCCGACGTCGGCATGTTAACTGGGCGTCTCCTGAATCAGAGACATCTAGGTCGGATCCGGAATCAGGTGCTTCGAGCATGGCCTTGATACTGGCATACGACAGGCCACCTATAAAACAGCACAGTTTATCAAACTTCGCTCTATAATCCGACCTAACTTTTCAGTGATGGCATGCAGACTGTGACGCCACGATCCATTTTGGTAGTTTGACCATTTATTCTCCATTCAAGAACAGTATTTTACCATCAAATACCAGTAAAACGCCGTTAGGGCGATGAACGAGAGAGCGCAAAGGTGAGTCGTTTACGTGCCTGAGTGTGAAATGGTACCCCGACTGACTTGTGTGCAACACCATACTAACCGGTTCCTAACGTTGTGCCATGTTTTAGCGCAATAATTATTGAGATGTGTCCGTGGGAACCACAAGTATGTTTACGCTTCACGTCCTGAATGTATACCTACTTGAGTGCACGTGACCTGTTGTAATGTAAGCCTAAGTGTATACCTACTATAGTACACAAATCAAGAAACGAGCGAATCCTGATGGATACCATAGTATACACATTCAATAAGTAGGATTTAACCCGCGCCCGGCTGGGGGTCCTGGATTTCCACGCCCTGCTGGGGGGGGGGGGGGTGTTTGAACACCCCCCCCTTCTAACTCGGCTCCTGGGCCACGTAGCGATACGCGGAAGGCGGCGTTCGAAAGAGCGTCAAAAATAATGAGGAAATCACTTCGGTCAATTTTTTGGTCAGGTCAAAGGTCAGGTCACCAGAGGTCATTGAAGGCAAAATTTCGCCGATTTCCAGGTCGAATGTCGACAATTTCCAAGAAGCCAACGCATAACTCGGGAACCAATAGAGCTACAGCGCTGCGGAAAAGCGCATTCGATAGCCCTATTAGCGCCCTTTCTAAGTAATTTTCTCAGATTTGACCTAGCGTCAACGGTTTTGCCTGCAGGGGGCAAAAACTGCAAAAATAGCCGATTTTTTCGGAAACAGTTTTTCTGCAATAACTTTTGACTCAAGCCTTGTACGAGCTTACTTTTACCGGCATCGTGTTCCTCTCGTCAAGACGCATCGAATGAACTATAACTTGACCTTGAAAGGTCAACTTGAAAATTTGACCTCAGGTTAAGGTCATGACCTGACCGGAAAGGGTCATGTTGCATATCAGTCGATCCGTATCGTCGACCTGAACACATCTAAGGTGTTTTCATCGCTCTAGCATGCCTCTATCAAAAGTTATTTGCGAAAAACTGTTGGATACCATTCGTGACCTAAGATGACCTCAGGGCATGAACAGGGGTCACGGACACCATTTTCATGTTCAGTGTGTCTAAACCACTTGTAATTCAGTGTTTGGGAGTGTTTATAATGTCTTTCGTCCAAAAGAGGCGCATTTCAATTTTCTCCCATTGACTTATAATGGGGAGGTCGCAGAATTGACCTTACCTTAGGTCATCGATATCAAAATTCTGAGATATACATTTTGTACATGCTATTGCTCTTAGCAATCGCTGAAAGTTTCAAAGCGATCGGTCACTCGGTGTAGCTATGACAGACATTGAAACTTTTTATGAGGTGAGGTCACTTCAAGTGACCTGGTGACCTGACCTTGAATGACCTTGGTCTGAAATTTTCACAACGTGTGTAGAATTGATGTATGATAAGGTGTACCAAAAACGGCGGCGCTCCGCGCCGCCGTTTTTGAGATATTCGCGAAAAACCACAAGGGGGGGGTGTTCAAACACCCCCCCCCCAGCAGGGCGCGGGTTAATTTTGTGGTTTAGGTATGACAATTATCTTAATATGTGTCTTACAGTCACGATACAATAAAGTTTTTTTCAAGAGAGTGGAATATAAGATATAGGGCACTTGCATCATCGGGTGGCATGAAATGAAGTCTGAAGTCCGGATGTATACTATAGTATACAATCAAGTACGATAACACATTTCGTCAAAATTACGAACGCTAAAGCAAAAATAAATATTCACATATTTGCACAGCACCTTTCTCATTACTAGCAACATGTCAAAAATAATGATAACATGGCATGATAATAAGAAAAAAAGAAAACATGTCGGAGCCTCACCTGAACGCGTCCGTCGCCCCGACATAGCGAAGTCGAAAAGGCCCCTGGTGGCAAATTTTGCAACCAAAGGTTTGTTTTTGGCACCAGATGGCAGGCATTGGATCAGTCTGAGGTATGACCATAGCTATTGCGATCTCGGAGTACATCGGAGCGATATAGACGGCGCTGAAGCCATGTATACTATAGTGCACCCGGGGTCTCTAGAGGTTAAAATGTTAATTGGCCGTGAACTCGTTAACGGTGCAAAATACCACCCCAAAGAGGTACATTTTCGGAATCAGCGCATCGAGGACCGAGGAGGCCCTGTATACCAATTTTCAGCCAAATCGAAAGACCCCGCCGTTTCCCGTTAAAATGTTAATATGCCGTTAACTCGTTAACGGTGCAAAATACCACTCCAAAGAGGTACATTTTCGGAATCAGCGCATCGAGGAGGCCCTGTATACCAATTTTCAGCCAAATCGAAAGACCCCGCCGTTTCCCGTTAAAATGTTAATAACGGTGCAAAATGCCAACCCAAAGAGGTACATTTTCAGAATCAGCGCATCGAGGAGGTTCTGTATACCGATTTTTGGCCAAATCGAAAGACCCCGCCGTTTCCCGTTAAAATGTTAATTGGCCGTTAACTCGTTAACGGTGCAAAATACCACCCCAAAGAGGTATGTACATTTTCGGAATCAGCGCATCGAGGAGGCCCTGTATACCGATTTTTAGCCAAATCGAAAGACCCCACCGTTTCCCGTTAAAATGTCAATTGGCCGTTAACTCGTTAACGGTGCAAAATACCACCCCAAAGAGGTACATTTTCGGAATCAGCGCATCGAGAAGGCCCTATATAGCAATTTTGAGCCAAATTGAAACACCCCGAAATATGCTGCTGTGAGGCTGATATTCGTTGCTGCTGAATTGACAGACGTGTATTATTTCATCCATGCCTTTTTGTTTCTGGTGGTAGCCTTACTAGCTAACATTATTGCATGCCTTTTAGGAAGTTGGACGCAAGTATAGGGCCTTGGACGCAAGAGCCAAGCTGCTACGCGCCCTATCCCAAAACAACAACAACAACGCATACCTTTTAGGCGAAATAAAGGTAAATATATTTTTGAGCAGTGGTTTAGTAGTAAATCTTCCGTACGCGCCACTTACGTATCAAGGGTATCTGTTATTGTCGCGTCTTGAGAAACAAATTGGATGAGCCCGACATTTTTAGATTTTGACGCTGCTTGTGAATTTGAAAAGAATTTAAAACATGGGCGTAGGAACCTCACGAAAAGTGGGGGGGCCAGCGAAACTTCAATGTCACTTTGTGGCAGTGTTGCCGTCCTGGTACTATAGTACCAGATCAGGTACTTTTTCGACCTTTCTGGTACGGTGGTACGCCTAAACGAAATCTGGTACTTTTTCGACGAAATGCATTTTTTGGCACTTAAATATTTGTTTCAATCTAAGTAAAAAAACAAAACAATTATTTTAGTCAGGAGGGATGGTGTTTTTAACTTTCTCATAATTTGTTGTGCATCAGATTCGGAATTATTAATAACTATTCCTGTTGTGTGCTTGCCAGAAGTAAACAAGAGGAAAATTCGCGCGCCACGCCGGCTGCCAAGGACGGTCCGCCGGCTGCAGGCTGAGGCAGTTGTGTCCAAGGCAATATAAGATGTTGTGTCATGAGTTGGGAATTGACCGGGCCCAAATGCAACGATTTGTGGTGGCTCCTACAAGCTGAGATACCAATAACCAATAGTTGGGAATTGTAGTTGTATTTAAACTCGCACAGAAAATAAACCGACTTTGCAAAAACACCGCTCGGCGGCCGCCCCGCGCCGCTCCCTCCCGCGCTCGCTCTCGCCGACACTGCCCGCTGATACATTTTCCACAACAAATCCCAGCCGCACGAGATAACTCGCACGCGCGCCGTGCACCGGACGCGCCTCCGCACAGCGGCAACTACACCTCCCCCTGATCCTGAGGATCATTTACATCCCTCACAGAAACATCCTTGCGGAGGACGGCGGGTGCGCTGACTTCGCCGAGGAGCCACGGCAGGAGGCTCCGGCGCTGGAGCGTCGCATAACTCCGGCCCCTGCTCAACTGGAGCCGGCTGGAGGACTGGGAGAGACGGGGGATCCATCACGTAGATGGGGTCGTCCGCGTCAATTTCAGCACATGGGGGCGGCTCACTATTTCTGCGCCGCAAATCCCTGACGTGTCGTGGCATACCGTCCACATCGACAACCTGCGGAGAGACCACCGCCGTGACGGTACCCCGGCGGGACGGCTCCGTGCAGCGCGTCCCACGGCGGCGCACCCACACCGCGTCTCCGACTGTGTATGGGCCCGTCTCCACCGCAGGGAGCTCCCGCGCCCCGGCCCCACCGTCCGCGGCCGTCCCTGGCGGAGCAGCCGGCAACCGCACACAGTCACTCGGCTCGTACCTGTACACGCCACAAAACGGGGCGCTGGCCACCGCCTCGCCGTCACGCGGCGTCACATTATACAAGTGCACCGCCTCGGCGATATCACACCGTTTCCGGGCGGCGATCACTTTCACTGTCCGGTGGCAGCGCTCGATAACACCGTTCCCGCTCGGTGCATGAGCCGCCCGGAACCTCACCGCCACTCCCCAGCGCGCGGCGAGCACGGCAAACGGTCGGCCGCGGAACACAGGATCGTTATCACACAACAGCTCCGCCGGAGCTCCTCGATCAAAAAATATCTCCTCCAGCCGCTGAATAACGCACACACTGTCCTGCCGTCGCAGCGGCCGCCATACAGTGAACCGCGACGGCCCGCAGTCGATTACACTGAGGTACGGATGGCCCCCATAATGAGTTATATCAATGGCCAGTCTGTGCCACGTCTGTGGTACACCCAACGACCCGTGTCGCCACTTTACTGGAGCCGGGTCGATCGCTCGACAGACATCACAATTTGTCACCACGGCGCGTACCTGGTCTCTCGAGACGCGGCCGATACATCGGCGAGCAAAATACAAAGTCCGTCGGACGCCCGGATGACCAGCTCGCTCGTGCACTTCAGCCACGCTCTCTGCACCGTCGAGGCTCGCGTTTACAGCGTTCGGCTCGTCCGCTGTGGCCGCGCTTACTGCCGACGGTTCACCCACCGCGGCTGCGCTCACTGCCGGCTCGCCCGCGGCAGCTACTCCCACTGCCGACAGCCCGCCCGCTGCGGCCGCGCTCACTGCCGACGGCTCGTCCGATGCAGCCGCGCTCACAGCGGCCGCGCTCACTGCCGACGGCTCGCCCGCTGCAGCCGCGCTCACAGCGGCTGCGCTCACTGCCGACGGCTCGCCCGCTGCAGCCGCACTCACAGCGGCTGCGCTCACTGCCGACGGCTCGCCCGCTGCAGCCGCGCTCACAGCGGCTGCGCTCACTGCCGACGGCTCATCCGATGCAGCCGCGCTCACAGCCGCCGCGCTCACAGCCGCCGCGCTCACTGCCGACGGCTCGTCCGATGCAGCCGCGCTCACAGCGGCCGCGCTCACTGCCGACGGCTCGCCAGCCGCGCTCACGGCTGCCGCGCTCACTGTCGACGTCAGATCGTCTCGGAGCCACTCCCTGGGTACTCGAGTCAGTGCGTCAGCGCGATTATCCGCCGATCGAACGAGCGCCACGGTCAGACGGAGCTCCAGCTCGATGACCAGCTGACGGATAATCGCCACACGCCGTCGGATGAGCAGCTCACCGCTGGCTTTAGTACGGAGGCGCGCGCGGCCACTGATCGCGTCGTCGATCCACCGCTTCACCGTCACCGAGTCGGTTCGGAGATTGATTCTCCGTGCGCCCCACGCAACAGCCAAGTTAATGCCTCGAATAGCGGCATCGAGTTCGGCCATATTTATGTGTACAGCGTCGTCTCGCCTGAGCCAGCATGCGTCCTCGATCACCTCACCGTCTGTGTTCTCCAGGACCACTCCGGTGGCCAGCGAGCTGGCGTCTGTCCAGGCGACCACCTCGTCCCCGTCGACACACCACACGCCACGGGCCGGGTCGTCACTGGCGAGGCGACTCGCGATACAGTCCATCTGCACGCGCAGCGCGGCGTCATCAGTGATGTCGTCCCATCCGCGCGTCAGCTCATTTACACGCCGCTTAAGCCATGCGACCGCGGGTCGAAGCCACCCACACACTGGTACGTGGGCCACTAGCTGTCCGCACCACGCGAACACAGATCGGCGAGTCACACGTTCTGGCGGCGCGCTCACGGCATTGTCCCGCTTCCACCGCAGCTGCCCGTTCTCCTCGTGCACCCGCAGGCCCAGGAGCCGCGCTCCACTGGCCGCCCGCTCCGGCGGCTTACAGTCCAGCCCAAACTGCGCGAAATGCGCCACCACGCGCTCGGCACTGACAATGTCCTCATTTACAAGGAGATCGTCCACATATGGGAGGACGGCACGCCCGATGTCGGGGTCCTGATCGAGCACAGCACGCACGACAGCCTTCATCACGAGGGGCGCGATATTCAAACCAAAACCTAGGCGGGTCAAGCAGAATCGCTGCCCCCGCACCATCACCGTCTGAAACGGCCAGAGTCGCTCCTCCAGGTGCAGCTGGAGGTAGGCACGCTTTAGGTCCACGACCGCCACATTTGCGCCGTGCCGGCGCCACTTGCGGAGCTGTTCCGCGCACACGTCGCTGTCAGCTGTGTGAGCCTGCACAAAGTCATTCAGTTCCCGGTAGTCCAGTACCGGTCGAACTTTCCCGCGATTGCGCTGCTCCACAGCCATTAGCGGCACCAACCCTTTCGGCGGCCCCTGCCGCCGCTCGTCATACGGCACGAGCCACTCCCGCTCTATCCAGTCGTCAAGTTCTGTCTCGAACTCGTGACGAGCGGCGGGCGGCACAGCATACTGCGGCACAGCGTTCGTGAGGCACTGGGGTCCGATCCCATCGGACCATTTCCATGCAACCGACCACTTCCGGGCAGCCGCGTTGAACTGCACCCGGAAGTCCGGCGTCTCAATGTCTGGCGGCGCACGACACACTGCTCCACAGAACCGCACCACAGAGGGGGACAGCACCGTCACGCCCCCGAGAGCCGAGATGCCGCTGACCCCGAGCACCATGTCCACGCCGAGCGGCCGCTCCTCCACCACCAGCGTTTCAAGTGCGGCACGATGGCCCGTCGGCGCCTCGACCGTTACACTGCCAATGCCGCTGCATTTCAGGTCGTCGCCGCTGATCGTGGTGACGCGCACCACCCGTCGTCTCCACTGCGCACAGAATGGCGCGTAGATGATGGTGTCGGTGCTCCCGGTGTCGATGAGGACCGTGCACTCTCGTCCGTCCACGTGCAGGCGTGTAATCGGCAGCGCACCGCTCACTGTCGCGCAGGAGAGAACGGCGGTGCTGACCCGTCCCCTCCGGCCCCGTTTTCCGACCGACGCGGACATCTCGCAGCGATATGACCGGGCTCTCCGCAGGTCCAGCATCTCAGCGGACGCGGCACGCGCGGAGGCCGTCCACGCGTCGGCACCGGCGGCTGGCCGGGACCAGGCGCCGCAGGTGGGTGGCTAGCCGGCGGCGGCACATTCCGACGCGCCGCTGCTGCTGCTGCGGAGAGCCGCTCGTCGGTCAGTACAGCGCGAGCGCGCGCCAGCACCGACGACAGGTCCAGTCCATCTGCCCGGCAGCCAGCACGGATCATCTGCCGGACGCTGTCCGGCAGGCCTGCCACGAATGCGCATACCAGCGCTCGCTCCGGCACTCCTCCGAACAGTGCCGCCAGCCGGCGAAGGTCAGCGAGGAATACGTCCGCCGACTCTCCTGGCATCAGTCGCCGAGCGGCGAACGCTTCATAGGCGGCGTACTCATCGAGAGCAAACGCCGCCTGGAGGGCGTCTCTCACGGCCGTCAGCGAGCAGCGACTGGCCGCCGGCAGCTGGGACCATACGTGGAAAGCACCGCCAGCGAGGCGCAGAGGAATCACAGTCTCGGCGGCCACTCCCCTCAGCTGACACAGCATCTCAGCACGCGCCAGCCAGCTGACCACATCTTCGGTCCCGTCAAACTCCGGTATCAGCCGCGCATCAAAAGGTGCCGACGGTACCGCGACCACAGGCTGTGAGACGGGTGCCGAGTCTGACACACCACCATCACCAACCGGCACCGGCGCTGTCACCGGTCGCGGGACGATTGTCGGGGCCACTGCACTTGCCATCACCGGAACCTGGTCCAATGACACTGTCACGTTCGTCGCCATAATGCCGAAATAGCTTGTATTTAAACTCGCACAGAAAATAAACCGACTTTGCAAAAACACCGCTCGGCGGCCGCCCCGCGCCGCTCCCTCCCGCGCTCGCTCTCGCCGACACTGCCCGCTGATACATTTTCCACAACAAATCCCAGCCGCACGAGATAACTCGCACGCGCGCCGTGCACCGGACGCGCCTCCGCACAGCGGCAACTACAGTAGTTGTATTGTGAACAGTGAAATGTGAGTTCCGTCGACGGTCGAAGGGCTAGAGGCTAGTTTGAATCCGTGTCCTAAAATTGTGCGATTTCGTTGGAAAACTAATGACACCCAACAAATAATTTTCCATTCTCACTGGCATATTACTGTGGCAATTTCCGGATTCTAGGTGCATGCTAGGATTCTGGTTGCAATCGCCAGTCTCAACTGGAGTGCCCCCTCTCGAAGGCAGGATTTCGATTTCTCTATTTTAAAGGGACCCTCCCACCTTCAAAAAAGTTAATGAATTGGCATGAAAGTGATGTCGCTCGGTTCAGAAAGAGCAAAAACGATTATCTACCAAATTTCATCGAAAAATATTCACGGGTTTTCAAGATATTAGACTTTTACCTTTGTTTACTTTTTGGGATCTCCGCTGTTCCTAGCGACTTTATTTGAAAGTGCGGCATTTGTTGCGCGCGAAGCAGCATATACCACCGCGTGCTACCAAACGTTTTAGTAAAATATTTAAAAATCGTTAGATCTCCGCTGACGTCATCAGATTCCCGTAATGGTTAAGAGATAGGGACCACGCTGGTCCCACCCTGCAAGTAAAGGGAAGAAATTTCTTGAACACCATAAAGCTGCGGGGGTTGCGACCAGGATAAATGGTGGTTTCTGAGCCTGGCCGCAAACTTGGCTATCTCAACTCAAAACTAATGTTAAGGTGGGAGGGTCCCTTTAAGGTCAATTTTAAGTAGGTATAGGTACAATTCAGGAGCTTTCAGAAGAGCGTCTTTCTGCCTTTCAAGGGGCGAAGTGGGGAGACGAATGGGTCGAACTACTGGGTCAAATGAGTCATAAATTACTTGCTGGCATGAACATACCGAAATTTTGGCTATTTTTAAAGTACTGAATTAATAACAATTTGGCCTATTACGATCTGGTACGGTACGCAGCCAGAAACAGCCAATCTGGTACGATTTGGATGCGATCCTGGTACGGTGTAAAATCTGGCCGCGGCAACACTGCTTTGTGGGAGCCCCAATACCCCTATGAAGAAATTCTTTGCAGTTTTGTGCTCATCTCACCTTGCTGAATCATTTCCTGCTCTTAGTTTTGTATTTAAATAAAAAAATAAAGATTTTACTTTAAAAATGGCTAAAAAGTCGGGGGGCCATGGCCCCCCCGGCCCCCCCTGTTCCTACGCCTATGATTTAAAATATTTGTTGTTATATTAAATTCATTTGCACGAGTGCTCCATGTTTTATTTTCCACTGGCATGCTCCATCGGAACTCTTAGAGCATAATATCGGGGAAGGAATCTTAAAAATCAGCACCAGGTAATGGTACCTATGGCTTATGCCGATGTCTGAACTCCAACTATTAGTTGTTATTTCAAAGCATACCAATGCTCAGAAATATCTGATGTACGGAAGACTGCCTCACTCGCTCACTTATGATTCCATGACCTATACCAAGCAATGCTGATGCCTCTTTAATGCTGATGCTGATGACTCTTTAGTGCCTTGGCTGATGCCTTAATTCACACCATAACAAGCAGGGCTGCGGAGTCTGAGTCGGAGTAGGTCGGAGTCGACAGTTGTGACCGGAGTCGGAGTCGATTTTAGAAGTCGGAGTCGGAGTCACCGAAAATCTGTCGACTCCGCAGCCCTGCTAGGTCTGCGGAGTCGGGAGTTGGAGTCGGTCGGAGTCGACAATTCTGCCTGGAGTCGGAGTCGGAGCTGGTTTTTTAAAGCCGGAGTCGGAGTCGCCGAAAATCCATCGACTCTGCAGCCCTGATAACAAGTGCAGGAATTCGTGGAATAAAACACGGAAGAAGAGAACACAGGCAAATGTGAAGGCGAAGTCCGAGTAGATAAAAACAATCTGACCCGACCTAACCTTACCTACCTATTAACTTACTACCTGTCTACCTGACAGCCTACAACCTACATACCTACAACCTACCAACCTACTACTTACCAACCTACTACCTACCAACCTAGGTAGGTACGTCCTACAACATATGAATGTACACTATCTACCAAGTCCAAGCGACCAACCTACAACCTACCAACTTACATACCACTTTGACTTCATACCATTTAACTTCATACCAGAACACCAACACACTATTTTGGTTCATGGAAAAGTGATATGATCACATGAGAAATGCTATTTGAAAATGCCGGTAAAATGCCTTTGGGCAAAGAACGAGCGAGCAGGAGAGTGACCCTGCACATGCGAAAGGACGGTGTGCCGAATTTGAAGGCAATCGACCCAGCCATTCCCCAGATCTGGAAGCGGCACCCTGCACGTGCGCATGTGCAAACTGGGTCCAAATTGACTTGCACAGCTTTCTACCAACCGGTTCATAACTGCTTACTCAATTTGAGCGCAATCGATCCAGCCATTCTCGGGATCTGGAAACGCCCCCCTGCACGTGCGCACGTGCAGTAGCACTATAACCGTAACACATGGGAATATATATTCCCTCGTGGGTGCCTACCTGCACGCCAAGTTTCAGCGAGATCGACCCAGTAATTTCAGAGTAATTGTAATGGGAACAAATTTGACACCTCTTTTTATTGCATTTTGCACGTGCAGTGGGGGTGATCCACATGCATCGGGAGTATCCGATGTTTGATAGAAGAGGTGCATCTACCCTACAAAAAATATCGCAAGTCACTCACCCAAGCAGTTACCGAGATATAGACCTGACCTACCAAAAGCGCTAATTCTGTAGAATTTCTTGAACACCATTAGCTTTTCACGTGGCACTTATAATGAGAGTTTAAAGCTGCCTCCAAGGGCACTGGCTCATAGCTCATCCATTGCCTACTGTAATGAATACTCAGGTCACCAGGGTGCTTACCTGCTTGTACTTACACCTTGCTTAGCAGAATCTTGAGTTGAATCACAAATTCAAGTGCTAATTAGTTTTTGTCTTTAAAGCTATCAAAATCAGAGCTCAATTGCTTCTAATTAGTTTTTTCATAGTCATGATAGCTCATTGCATGTCTCAAACATTTAAAATATGATACCTTGCCTGAGGGTTTTTAAATTTAAAGACCCCACATACTTGGAGTTTCATCTGTCCATGGCTCATTGAGCTCATCTGTCAACCAAAATTTCAACCCAATAAGAGTTTCAACCAGTTCTTGATATTTCTTGCTGCATTGACCCTAACAGACAGTAACACTAAGTTTGAATGTTAACACTCTCTGAAGAATAAGTGAACAAAGTACAAACCATTTGAAATATCAAAAAGGTTTCCAATCCTCAACAAAAGGAAACATGAACTATTGTGCACTGTCGTTGGATACATTCTGTTTCCATGAAGAATTTGTTTGTTTTGTGGCGTTAGGCCCTTTCAGTCTATGTGAAGAATTTATGTAATTCGACTTGTAAGCATTAGTGATTGCTAACGTTTTTTTTCTGTCGCCAGGTGCCATGTCGGTGCCGGGGCTGCTGCGGGTGACGCTGGCGGTCGCCCTGACGGCGGCCGTGGCCGTGCACGGCGACAGTGACGTCACCGTTCCCGTGACGCCTCCGACGTCGGAGGTCTCTGAGGAGCCCGGCGACGGCGGCGAGTGGCCTCCGGCTGGCACCGAGCCGGCGCTGCCGCCCAGCGGCCAGCCGCCGCAGTCCTACTTCGAACGGCTGCCGCTGGAGGGCAGGCCGTTCGGCCAGCTGGACGGCTTCTCCCCGCGCCAGGGCCCTCCGCTACGTACTTGCCACAGGCCAGCCGTGTGCCAGCCTCTACGCCACGGCGCTGGCCACGGCTACGGCGCCACGTGCCTGGGCACGGCGCTCCGGTTCGCCAGCACCTCGCTCAACCTGACTGACTTCAGCTCGCAGGAGAGCCTCAAGGTGCGTGCGTGCGGATGCTGGTGTCAGAGGGGACAAGTGTGAGGTCACACCGTTCCATGCTTCTATCCTCAGGATACGGAAATCCTTCTCCTCCACGCCGCAACCCCCCTCCGGGCTGGACAGGCAACTTTATCTCATGCGGACTGCTCCCTTGGAGCGGCACCGCTGCTTCCGAGGGAGCGCACCCCGTAGCCGGGTGCAGTGAGTACCTTGGGGCTGGTCGGCCTGTCCTTCGGGATGGGCTCAGCCCCGGTGACTCACTAGGGTGCCTGCCCAGACCAATGTCTCCCCCTAATTCCTATCATCCTTCCGGCTCTGAAATGGTCTAATTGGACCGAAAGGGCCTAACCCAACAAAACTTAAGTGTGAGGTCACCCGTTCCTTCGTTTTCATCCTCAGGACATTCAAATCCTCCTCCACGCCGCAACCTCTGGTCCGGGCTGGACAGGCAACTTTACCCCATGCGGGTGGCTCCCATTGGAGCGCACCGCAGCTCCTAAGGGAGCACACCCATAGCCGGGTGTAGTGAGTGCTGGGGGGGGGGGGGGCGGTAGGAGGGGGCTGGGCGGCCTTTCCAACTGGATGGGCTCAGCCCCGGCGACTCACTAGGGTGCCTCCTCAGACCAAAGTCTCCCCCTAATTCCTGTTAATCCTCCCAGCTCTGCATTGGTCTCAATGGACCAAAAGGGCCTAACCCA